AATGTCTGTCTGTGTGTCGAGAACGACTGCACGCTGAAGAAATAAATTTTCCAAGAAACGAAAATCCAAAAAAAATTGGAAAAATGCATATATATATATATATATATATATATATATATATATATATATATATATGTATACAAAGAAATAATCACGCATAGATTTCTTTTGTATATAAAATTATATGCTGCCTAATGTTTTATGTTTTATATATATATATATATATATATATATATATGTGTGTGTGTGTGTGTGTGTGTGTATGTAACATTGCTTAAGAACACGTCATTTGCCAAAATCCTTACTGTCGCTAAAATCTCTTAATTCTGGTAAACAAGCGTCTCTCTCAGTTGCACGTGCACTTGCACACATGCATGTGTTTATCTATATATAGAATTGAGCGTAGATGAATGCATCCATCCATATATGTTATAGGAATATGCACATGCATTTTAAGTATATATACTATACGTCAAATGTTTGGGGACACTTTCTGGGCCTCTAAGAATCGCTTGAAACTTGAAGGTTGCGCATACTTTTCAAAACTAATTTCCTAGCTCACATCGTGATAGGGGGGACTTTCTCTTCCCCCAAAGATTTTATTTGTGCAGAGTGGTCCAAAAGTCTTGTCACCCAATACCAAAAAGAAATGTTATCAATAGAATGTTTAATATACAACGTGTGTTAGCACGTGCGATACCCTATCTTCATCAGCCGTCAACCAGGGGTGATATCACGGTTACGGTGGCTAAACCATGATATCACAAAAAAAAAAAAAAATAAATAAATAAATAAAAAAATGCGATCAATAGAAGAACAAGTAATACTATAATACAAATCACGTGTCCTGGATTCAGTTTATTCGCTTTCATTGACGCTGTCACACATCGAGAAGGTCTGTATGAACGCCATCATTTTCATGTCAGCCATCTGAAACAAAAACTTATACATTGCAACCTCGGTTCTCGAACAAATCGAACAAATCGAATTTCGAACAGAAAATTCGATATGAAAATGCCTTGGTTACCGAACAATATTTTAGTTCTCGAACAGAATTGCCGAATCGCGAGTTAACCCGAACGGAATCATTTCTGAGTCGACCGCCATGTTGTATACATTCGTGTTTTGTACTGTGATTTTCTTTTCCAATTTTATTGTACTGTGCCTTTCTTCTCTTCATTAGGCCTGGTTAGTCATGGCTCCAATGAAAGCTAGCATTGATACTGGCAAAGAAAAAAGAAAAGTAAAGATAAAAACAATTTTTAATGATATTGTCTCTTCCATCTCAGTTTCATATGACAAAATCAACAGGCCATACTATTCTTATAAATAAAGAGACTTCCCCGCCTTTCCAAACAATAAAATCTCTTTCTTTCTCTTCCCCTTAAACTATCAACTGTCCTACTTAAAGGTACGGTAAAATTGAAGTGTTCACTTGACTATTTCGTATTGGGTTTATTTATTTATTCTTTGATTTATTAATTTTCATTAGTTTTGTGTATAAACTTGTACACAAAGTAATTTTGTTTTTTGTAAAAGTTTAAATAAGCAATCATCTTGAGACTAGGAACGGATTAATCCATTTTACATTGATTGCTATTGGAAAAATAGTTTCGGTTAACGAACATTTCATGTTACGAACGGGCTTCAGGAACTAATTAAATTCGTGAACCAAGGTTCCACTGTATTATGTAGGGGTGACAAGACTTTCAGACCACACTGTGCATTCAATAATAATAATAATAATAATAATAATACCAACGAAATTGACCCATTACTGCATAAACTTTCCTTAAAGTATGTTTAAATGTGTGTGTGTGCGTGAGTGTTTTTTAAAAAATTTAGATATAAACATAATACATCTGAAAATACAATATAATTTGTCTATATTTCTGAGATGAGGTATTATGTACATTATTTACATTATTCGGACTATTGTTCTCATCTTTGTCGCCATATTTATTACAACGTTTCGGCCCTTCAGTATCTGTCTATATTTCTGAGATGAGGTATTATGTACAAAATTTACATAATTCGGACTATTGTCCTAATCTTTGTCGCCATATTTATTACAACGTTTCGGCCCTTCAATATCTGTCTATATTTATGAGATAAGATATTATGTACACTATTTACATTATTCAGACTATTGTCCTCATCTTTGTCGCGATATTTATTCAACTTTTCGGTCTTTCAGTATCTGTCTATATTTCTGAGATGAGGTATTATGTACACTATTTACATTATTCGGACTATTATCCTCATCTTTGTCGCCATATTTATTAAAACGTTTCGGCCTTTCAGTATATTTATTACAACGTTTCGGCCCTTCAGTATCTGTCTATATTTCTGAGATGAGGTATTATGTACACTATTTACATTATCCGGACTATTATCCTCATCTTTGTCGCCATATTTATTACAACGTTTCGGCCTTTCAGTATCTGTCTATATTTCTGAGATGAGGTATTATGTACATTATTTACATTATTCGGACTATTGTCCTCATCTTTGTCGCCATATTTATTACAACGTTTCGGCCTTTCAGTATCTGTCTATATTTCTGAGATGAGGTATTATGTACACTATTTACATTATCATCGGACTATTATCCTCATCTTTGTCGCCATATTTATTACAACGTTTCGGCCTTTCAGTATCTGTTATATTTGAGATGAGGTATTATGTACATTATTTACATTATTCGGACTATTGTTCTCATCTTTGTCGCCATATTTATTACAACGTTTCGGCCTTTCAGTATCTGTCTATATTTCTGAGATGAGGTATTATGTACACTATTTACATAATTCGGACTATTGTCCTAATCTTTGTCGCCATATTTATTACAACGTTTCGGCTCTTCAATATCTGTCTATATTTATGACATAAGATATTATATACACTATTTACATTATTCGGACTATTGTCCTCATCTTTGTCGCCATATTTATTCAACTTTTCGGTCTTTCAGTATCTGTCTATATTTCTGAGATGAGGTATTATGTACACTATTTACATTATTCGGACTATTATCCTCATCTTTGTCGCCATATTTATTACAACGTTTCGGCCGTTGTACGCTCCGGCCTACTTCAGTTCGTTGGAATGTCGAACTGTATCCTTTATTTCGCTCGCTGGGGTAGACTGTTCTAGTTCCACGTGCCATGTCTAATGGATGTCAGTTATTAGTTATCTCCTCTTAATTGCCCTCTCCAAGTTCTCCATCGCCTTAACAAGGACACATGGCACAGTGGATAAAGATGTTAGTTAGATCTAGTGACACGACCCAAAAGAGTGTGAGTTCAATACCCGGTTAAGAAACAACCACACTTTTTGAAGGGCCGAATACAGAGACCAGATGCACTACGTGTCACAAGGTCCCCAAACGACCCTCCGCAGGTTTTGAATTAAAAGTTGTCATTTCTCCTAGACCAGTTGCCATCCAAGGTTATAGAACCCGATCTGTCCTGCTATTTACCCATAGCTGGTGGGAGAAAAAGAGGATGAATACCTTTCTCAAGGGTATTAGCACTGGAATTCGAACTTTGCTTTTCAATTCCTCAATCCGAGCCGTTACCCACTACTCCACCGTGCCTCTCTCTCTCTCTGTCTGTCTGTCTGTCTCTCTCTCTCTCTCTATTTATATATATATATATATATATATATATATATATATATATATATATATATATATAATTAACAAATCGGTGACTTCAGAAACCCATGGTAATATTTTATTTCGCGAAACCCATGGTAATATTTTATTTCGTGTGTCTTATCAAGTGTTGAAACAAAATGGCTATTTTTGTAGTGATTTTATAACATACTTATGTTATAATTTTTTTTATAAAAAAGTAATTATATCTGCTCTACTTTGTATTGAGCACTCTTTTTAAGAATAGTAATTGTTGGTTATTGGAATACATTCCGTATATACCAATTATATACTTTGGTATATATATATATATATATATATATATATATATATATATATATATATGGGTGTGTTTATGTTTGTATGTGTGTGTATGCATGTCTGTACACGTAGAAGCAGCTGTAAGTCAGTGTCTAGATTAAGCTATCCTTTCCGGCCTTTTAAGTAGGTGAAGTTTCCCTCTTGTTTCTTGTTTAGGATTCGGCTTCACCTATATATGCATCTATCTATCTATCTATCTATCTATATATATATATATATATATATATATATATATATATATATATATATGCTATTGAAACAGTAGCAGTGCCACTAAGCATCCTCAAGCGGCGGCACTTCCTTTAATATTGAGTCTCTACATTCAAAAACAGAAGAATTTCGCCTGTATGATAATATAACAGGATTACAAACATTTTCTTATTTACAAACTGGAATATGTGTGTTTACACAGTGGCTGGCAACTCATGATACACAAACATCCACACAAAATATAACTGACCAATCGGTGAAATTCCCACCGCTCATATATTTTAATATTGTAAATCTTATTTTATTATTTTTAGTATTTCCGTTAATATCGTTTTCTTTGCTACTAAGAAATAAAAAAAAGTCCATAAAAAAACTAGTTATCTTTTTACAGAAAACTATCAGTAATAAAAAACAAAAAAAAACAAAACAAAAACGAATGAACGACGCTCCTTGAAGTTGTCCCATAATTTAAACAAATGAGCATGTCTAATCCCGACATGCCACAGGAGGGTGAGAAATACATTTTATTATTATTATTTAAATGAAAAAAATAATTTTATCATTTTGTAATTTGATTTCTTTCCTTTCTATCATGGCGTCCGGTTACACAGAGGAATTCTATCCTTTCCTGTCATGCGCGCATGCGCTGCTTGCAAGATTAGCAGACTCTTCCGGTCGCGTTTTTAGCATCCTTCATCCTTGCTGTTGGAGCCTTCAATAACATCGCCTTCAACTGTTAATCCTGTCGTATTCATCAAAAGAATCTTTGTATGAGGAGAGAAAAGGACCTGAGCTGTGATATCAGTCTCAC